AGGGCCCTCGGTCCCCCTAAAGGGCTTTCTCCTGCTGCTTCCCAGGCAGGTCAGCGCCTCCTCAGGGGTCGGCAAGGCTGACCTCAGTGTGCAGTCCTGTCGCTCAGCCCCTGGGTGCCGTCTAGCCACGCAGAGACAGAGATAGGGGAGACTCATCCCTGAGAGCGCCTGTGTCCAGCCACAGTGGGGTCATGTCCCCGCTCCCTGAGCCACAGGACTGGGTGTTTTCAGACTGGCCAGGCCAGCTGGATGGCGCCGCCAGTGGGAGGACCAGGGCCCTCGAGCGGGGGCGGAGGACGCCCCTCTGCCAGGGCTCGCGGGCTCCTAGGATGCAGCCTTTCCCCATCCGGGCACAACCTCCGTGGCCCCACACAAGCAAGCAAATTCTTCGGCTGTTTGCGATTTTCCACCCAAGCAGCCAAGATCACCAAGTGCCTTTGAGGCCCCCACACGCCTGCCCTGACCATGGTGCTCCTCTGCCCCCTCGCCTCCCTTCTCCAGGCCCAGGGCCCCACTCTTGGTTTCACACACACACACACCCCACCCCCGCCAGCCCCAGCCCTGCATCTACACTGCAAATGGGACCAGGACCGTCACCATCCCAGTGGCTGGGACTCAAACCCTGCCTGAGAGGAATGGCCACCACCTCTGGCCCACCTGTGCCCTGCCCTCCTTCCTCCAGCTGTGTCCCCTCCCATGGAAGAAATGGGAAGTCTGGGGGGGGAGTTCAAGTTACCCCGTCCCCCCTCTCTGCTTCTCAGGCCCAGATCCAAGTCTGTCAGGCCAGGGTTAGGGGACCCCACAGAGGCAGGGTGTTGCCTGTGGGTCCCACTGGCACTCTAGAAGTCCCCAAGGATTCTGGAATCAGGCACCCAGAATAGGGGCAGAGCAGGAGAGGCAACTGGGGTACCTCCTCCTGCCTGCGCCCTGTGCCGGGCCGCACAGTCTCCTGGACCGAGCCGCACAGTCTCCTGGACCCTTGCCCTTGCTGGGGCCTCAGTGGGCTGTGGTCCGCCTGGGCTCTTGCTCTGGGGCTGCCTGTCAGTGGCCCAGCCCGCCAGGGTCTTGGCTTTTCCTTCT